GAGACAGCGCACAAATTCAGGGAGTACACCTCTTCGAGAGGAAACATATTTTTCTTCCCCCCCCCTCCCCCCTCCTATATATATATATGCTTAACTTCAGCCCACACACACACGCACACACATACACCTACACCACTGCTTTGCTTCTCGTTTCTTTTTTTAATGTTTCAGTTTTGGCGTGGGGCGGGATGTTACGTACCTGTTCCTCATTAAAAGGAAAAATATTCTTTATATGCCGGTAGGAATGGGTTTATTTACGCTTATTCATACTGCAGAGATATTTATATCGTTCAAAGCACTCCTTTGCATTTTTGCCTTCCACTATCGCCGCAATCTTCTGAAACTTATCCCTCTCCTTGTAATCCTTCAGTTCCCGCAACCCCTGCTCCAGCATTTTTTGCTGCTTCGCAGTCCAGTCCTCTACGGATGGAACCTGAGGGACCGCCGCCGCACCTGCACCCACGGCGGCAGCGCTGGATGCGTCCAACTTGGGGCCTGGCTGCTGCACCGAGGCACTCGGGGTTTGGTTGTGGGTGTTTGCATGATGCAGTGCGGCGGTAATTTCATTCACCTTCCTCATCGCCTCCTCCTCTGTGAACTTGCCCCGCAGCAGTTCGGCGATCTTCCTCCAACGGTCCACCGCGCCGGGTGGGTACTTCGCGGTCGCCTTCTGCAGGCGCACCAGGTCCTCCTCGTCCCAGTTGGCTGCCGCTGCAGGGGCGGCCCTCTTGGCTGCTCCCGGCCCACTCGTGGAGGAGACTGGGGGCTTCTTGATGGGCTCGCCGTAGCGCGTCACCCCAATGCGCTGCTCGTGCTCCTCAATCAGGGCGTTGAAGCGGAGAACCGCCTCCACAGTTACGCCCTCGTCGTCTTCGTCGTCCGGTCGGTTGCCCTTGTTTCCGTGCGCCGCGGCGGCGACGACAGCGGGACGCCGCTCCGTACTGCAGCCCGTCACCGCAGAGAGAATAGCGGCAGCCTGCTCGGGTGCACTGACCTTTGAGAAGATCCACGCGACATTTGGCCGCCGCACCGCGTGGCGCAGGAGCTTGTTAGTCGCCGTCTCGTCAAGGATGCCGTGCCGCTCCAGAAACTCCAGCAAGTCTTTTTGTGCCTGACGAATTTCATTTTTCTTCTCCACTTGTTTTCGTTGCGCCTCCTCCCGTTGGAGCCTCTCCCGCTCCTCTTCCTCCGCACGGCGCCGCTCCTCCTCCTCTCGTGCCTGACGGCGCGTCAGCTCCCTCTCCTCCTTCTCGCGCTGCCGCCGCGCTTCATCCTCCTCGCGCTTGCGGCGCAGTCGGGGGTCATTTTTCCGGGCCCGCTCCACGAGCGTCCGCAGCCGCTGCTGCTCCTCCCGACGGAGGTGGCTCAGCTGCCGCTCGTTCTCGCGCGCGTAGTAGCGCTTCTCCTCGCGGCACATGCTGTCGTCGATCTCGTCGAGCTCCACCAGGTGCGAGAAGTCGCGCCAGGACTGAAACCGCGCCCAGCGGTCGTAAAACCGGTACACCGCCTTTAGGCCTGTACGGTCGTCACCGATGGACGGCAGGTCCCGCTCGCTGCTCCACTTCTTGTTGCGCTCAAAGACGGGCCCGAAGAGGGCGTAGAAGTCCGCCCCCGCCGGCAGCGTCTCGCCGGGGATGGAGTCGTCGAAGGGGCGGGAGGAGTCGTACGCCAGACGGGTTTCGGCGTCGCCGAGGACGTCGAAGGCGCGCTGCACCTTCTTGAAGGCCTCATCCGAGTGGTCCTTCTGCTTGTCTGGGTGCGTCTCCAGGCAGCGGCGGCGGTAGGCGGCGCGGATCTGCTCCTCCGTCGACCCGTCCCCCTGGCCCAGCTGCAGCACCTCGTACCAGTCGACGCTCAGGTCCTCGTCCGTCAGCTTAACGAACTTCTTCCGACGAAAAGTTTGCTGCCGCCGCCCCTCGCCGTTCCCGCCGGCGTCGTCGTCGTCGTCGTCGTCGTCGCTGCCGTCCAAGTCGGAGCCACTCATCGCGTGAGGGTCTCCGTGACGCCGCGCGTGGCGCAGCTGCCCCTCCACCCACACCCGCGCGCTCGTCCGCGCCTGCTGCTGCAACGCCAACCCCCGCGGCAGCACCCGCACCCTGCGTGCGAGGCCGCGGAGAAGGCCGGGGTCCACCCCAAAGAAGACTTCCTCGGCGCCCTCCTCCAGCCGTGGGAGCTCCAGCCCCGACAGCGCCAGCATCTTTTTCCCTGTACAAATGGAGGCAACCGGACACAGAGAAGAGGTATCGATGCTCCGCCGCTCCACACGGTCTTTGTGTTCCCTAGCAGGCGTGAGGGGAGGAGGAGGAGGAGGAGGAGGAAGAGAGTGAGGGAGGGAGGCGGCAGGCGCCCAAGGAAGAGGCAAGCAATAACGCACATAACCGAGAAAACAATGCGGCGTACAGCTGACCCAGCAAAATAAAAAGAAAAACACATGCGGGGCCAACAATAAAAGGAAAAACAAAAAGAACGAGTGCGTGTGCATGGCGACGCATTATTCCACCTGAAGAGTCATGGGCATAGGTATTAGCTGGCGCCGTACCACAGCATTCGTTTCTTAACGCTTTTTTTTTATTTTTCTTCTTCTTTCGTTTCTTCTTTCCTTTTTTTAACAACTCCATGCGTTACTCGCACACAGACGCCCAGCCCGCTACCTCTCAACTCCATCTTTCTCCTTTGTTGTTTGTTTGTTTGTTTGTTTGTTTGTGTGCTCCAAAAAAAAACACAACCAAAAATTTCAATCCTCATAACATTCGCTTGGCAGATCCGTCAGAAAGGCAGAACGGCGCTAAAACAAAAACAAAAAGTAACAGCATGAATGCGTTGTGTGTGTGCGTGTGTGGATGAACTCAGACCAAACTCCGCGGCGTCGCTTCGTCCCCCTCCTCTCCGCCTTTGCAGCGTCACTCTATAGATATATATATATATATATTTCCCCCTCACACACACATACAATCTCCCGGTTGCGTAAGCCGTCATTTTCCCATCATTGTATACTTCCTCGGTGCCAACGTGCGTGTTTTCCCTAGCGGCGCACGCTTCGCTGCTCCTCACCGCCTCGGGCCCACTGCGGCCACGCACAGGAAGCGGTGGAACGGGGCAGCTTGCACACGCATGCACAAGGAGCGTAGTCAGGCGAAATCTGGGAAGATGCACGCACCAATACAGCGAGGGAGCGACAGTTTGTGTGCGTGTGTGTGAGAGGGCAACGGGGGGTGGGGGTGGGGTGGGGGGCACGCACACACTACCGCAGAGGAGAAGCCCTCAATGCACGTCCGTGCAGCTCCGTGTGCCCGATGGCGGCAGGCAGAAGCAGCGGGGACGGGCGCAGTGTCGCCGGCGCATGCGCAACCCAATAATAAAGCAGTGGGGTGAGTCGCTCACAAACAGCAAACAAGCCACACCAGTGCCACAAGAGGCACTTCCTCCTCCCCCCCTCAGGAAAAAACAAACAAGCAAAGAAAAGAAGTCCGCAGACAGCGGGGGAAAATGATAATCGACGGCGCTCAAAGAATACGGGAGTGGGTGATAATTTCACCACCGCGGGCCTGTAGATGCAGGAGGAGAAGAAGGGAAAAGGCCGCCTCCCGCAGTTACCTCCCCGCGCAGAACAAAGCCCCACCCCCGCCCCTGCCTTCGCTCACAACAGCGTGCCTCCTCTACAACCGCCCCGCGTCCCCTCCCCCCTGCCGCCGCCGCGGCGGGGGTAACCACACGCCCAGGAGTAGTCCCCACCGGCAAGGCAGTCGCGTCCTGCGTGGCTGCGGGCCCGGCCCCGCAGTAGGAGGACTGCCAACGGAAACGCGGCGCGGGCGGGAGCCACGCTGAAAGAATGGATACGGAATAGAGAAGCAAAACAGCAAAACAAAACAACAACAACAAAAAAGACCATACGTGCAGAGTAAGAAAGCGCCACCAAAAGAACAACAACGACGACGACAACAACAAAAATGGTACGATGGCGAAAACAACTACCCCATTGCGTCGCTTGCATTTCAGAACGGGGGGATTGGGGAAAGACAACAACAACGACGCAAGAAGAATCGTCGAACACCAGCAACGGCATAAATGGGAGGTGGGTGCGTGCGTGTATGGGTGGGTGTGGGGTACAGGGGAGGGGAGATAGAAACACGGCAAATTTGGCAACCAAGATAAGTAAGCACTCCAGTACGAGAAGGCGTCAGGAGAAGGGGAGAAAAGAGGGCTGACAACTCGGGTCCCCCCTCTTTATTTCGCTTTTTTAAAAACACACCCTAATTTTTTTTTCGTTTTTTTTTGTATTGTTACCTCCGTCTTGTTTTTGTATTTGATTTCTCCTCTTCGCTTGCTCAGCCACTACTCTCCATTTTTTTTTTTTGCTTTCATGTATGTTCACTGTTATTTAACTTCAAATCATGTTATTTTTCTGCCCCTTCTGACGGTTCTCTCTCTCTCTCTTTTTTTTCCCCCCTTTCACCCGCCCGTTTTCTTATTCTTATCCTTTCGTTGTGTAGACGACCTCTACTTGCTGGGACGCACACGTCCCGGAGCGTCTTCTGCTCGCCCGCCGCCGGCTTCATGGCCCTCCTGAGGAAGGCGGGAGGGCATAAGACGCCACAACACACACACACACACACATTACATACATATGTACATACAACTACACAAATACACGCAAAGGATATGAAAACAACAACAAGGGACAATACTGCGGGTGTCGGGGCAGTGATGCAACGCCGCATAGTACATACATACATACATATGTATCGAGAGAGTAAAAAAAACGAGCGAGCGAGAAGGGACATGTACACATATCCCTTCTCTGTGAAAAGTTAACTGGAGATCATACCTCATTGGAAATAGTTTTAAGTGCACAGCGTCTTTTGTTTATCGCGCGTACTTCATCTGCTCGTTTGCTGCTGCCGCCGGATCGCTCACATTGCCGTAAAACGTCTTGTTCTGTTATAAAGTTATTAAACACACACACGCACACACACGCACGCACACACACACACACACACAGCCACACACACACGCAGCCACGTCTCGCTCAGTTCGGCTTCTGCTTCCGCCAGGGCATGACGTTCCCGCGCGGGCCCGGGCCCCGACAGACGTTCTTCTTTTTATTCCGCCTCCGCGACTCCCCCTCGCTGCTGCCCACGCAAATCCCCACCGCACGCCCCGGGCCGGTTTCCCCGTCAGTGCCGGGCGGGCCTGACGGAGGAGCGTGCAGTGGGAGAGAGGCGAGAAACTGGGCGCAGACACACTTCCCCCGCCTCTATTTATTCCTTACGCCCTTCCGCCCCACGCGTCTCCCCCTGCCTCCATCCAAGAAGGAAAAGAAAAAAAACAGCAATAAAACACAAAAAAAATCAGAGCCACCAACAACGAGAACCGTTTCGACCAGTGACTCACGGAGGGAGGTCGTCGTCTTCCGAAACATGTACTAATATATATATATATATGGGTGGATATATACAGTTACAGGTATCTGTCGTTTTTGTGAGTCCCGCCCAGCAGGGCCGGGGTTACCACAACGGGCCCCAGCCAAAGTACAGCGCGGCGTAGTTCTCCACACGCGTGGCCTCGTCAATCAGCATGGCGACCTGCTGCGGCGGTGTTAGGGATTTGGCGAGGGTTCGCCGTGCCGCGTCATTGAAGGCGTTGGACATGTACAGCAAGTCAGGGCGACGGGCACTTTCCAAAACGGTGTTGAAAATCACCATGTCTCTCTGGTCCACAGCCATTTCTCTCCCACGGAGTTTGTTACGAATACGTTCCGCAATATCCTGCGGCGTGCGCCCCTTCTCCATCATGCTTTTCATCGTCCCCTTGTGCTGCACGATTGGGTCATACACAAAGGCCGAGAGCAGGGCCATGATGCTGTCACAGTTGCGGTGCAGCGTGGTCTGGGTGCGGGTGCAGGAGGAGCGAAAGATGCCATCCACGCCGAACACCTCCATCGCATTTGTCAGCATGCGAGTCAGGCGGAATGGGATGGTCTCAGGCAGAACGTGGCGCAGTCGACCCACGTCGAAGCTGTCACCAAAGTCAATGTGCACAATCTTCCCTGTTGACATGGAAAGCAGAATGTTGCCGAGGTGGCGGTCGCCGAGCCCCAGGACGTACCCCACCATCGACATCGTCGCCAGGGAGTGGGTGAAGGCCGTGCGTCGCTCAAGCCACTCCTCCGCCGTGTGGGAGCGGTGCCACATCGCACGCGCGACATCCACCGCCTCGCAGTTGGGTTGCGTCATGACATACTCCAAGACCTCCGTGCGCTGGATCATGCTCAGCTTATCCCAGCTGCCAAAGGACTCCACGTAGGAGCGCAGCGTGCTTGACTCCTGATGAGTGCAGAGATTCGAAATGGTGCTGCGATGCATACATATCGTGTTGTTGATTGTATTGGCGTTCTCCACCCAGCCAAGCAGTCCCACATTATTGCTGATGGGAATAACTGGAAAGCGGTGAATAAAGGCACTGTTGCTGGCGTGGGTGTTGCTAAGCAGCACGTTGACCATGCCAAACAGCTGCATCACCCGCTCATCCATGCGTATGTCCTCGTTGCCCTTCAGGCAGTAGGTGTAGATAAACCCGTTTGACCCACTGAGGCGGATGCGCCGCGGCCGCTTCTTGGACGGGATGACGTCCAACTTGGAGCTAAACGACGCGATGGTTGGGAAGTTTGTGTACTGGATATCGTACTCCCCAAACACCGCGATGGAAAGGTTGCGAAGGCTCAGCAAAGGCTCCATGGCCTTCTGAGGCTCGTTGCCAAGCTTTTCCGCGATGTGCTTGGTGATCTCGTCCAGCAGCTGCCCCACGATGCTGCTTGCCTTCTCCCGATCCCCGCGCCGCTCATCCTCGAGAACCACGTCCACGTAGTGGCCAACGTCGCCGACCGTGTAGAGCAGGTGGTGCCGGTGGGCGTTGAAGATCTCCAGCACCGCCTGCAGCCGCCGACACACCTCCTCGGAGTCGCCCTCGTACTCGGCGTTGGGGTTCCACACCGCCGCCACCGCGCTCAGGTGCTCGCGAATCTTCTCAATGGGGATCGCGGAGACGTCCACCAGCAGCTTCGCCACAAGTCGCGCGTCGGATCTGATGCGCTTAGGGAGGGCCGTGATGATGGACTGCGCCAACTCCCGTCGCCGCAGCTGCTGCCCACCACTGCAGTCATCGGACATAAACACCACGAGCAGTGGAAACACCACCGCCTGGGCGTGCTCCTCGCACAGCTGACGAAGGATCATGCTGATCACCTCACGCACGTCGTGTCGACGGTCGCTCAGGTGACCGATCAACTGCGGGATGGCCTGCACCCAGTAGTCCGTGGGAATGCGGAAGACGCTGTCTGCCATGGACTCCTTCAGCATGGACATGCCATTGTGAAACACCCACAACTGCAGCAAACGCATCACACCGGGCAGCGCGGTGGCGGGGCTGGTGCTTCGGCAAATGGCAGCCACAAAACCCTGGTGGGCCGCCTCAACAAACCTGTGTTGCTCCTCCGTCGTGAGGGAGCTGTCGCGCTGCTGCACGCGATAGTTCATGAGTCCCCAACTGTGCCACGCCTCGTAACTCTTTGGCAACGCACGAATCGCCTCGTGAAAGTGTCGCAGTAGCTCCTGGCGGTAGTCACTCTTCCAAAAACAATCCGCAAGCACCTCCTGCTTCCATGTACCTAGACGGTGTTGAGCAGTACCGTAGCATAGGGGCTCATCTTCCTCCAGTCGTGGTTGCGTCTCATTGAGGAACTCCTCCATCATACGCACCGCCTGGTGTCTCCTACCCTCACTCCAGATCTGGCTAATGTAGACAACGGCCACGCGCGGCTGCGAGGTCAGCAAGGCGGCAGCGCTGACGTGATCACGCGTCTCCTCCGGACTACTGCGTGGAAAGTGACCCTGCTGAAGCCACGACATGGCCCACATGGAGAGCTGAGGGTAGTTTGTCCCCATCCGTTCACAAAAGTTTAAAATCATCTCCGACATCTCTGTGGGCTGTAGCACCAGTGAGTGCAGCATGAGAGAGCGTAGACTTGGCATGAGAGAGTCCGGCTTAAGCGCCGCAAAGCGCCGTTTCCACCGCTCCAGCAGCTGCTCACGAAAGACGGAGGACTCAGCCTGCACGTACGCCACCTGCTCCTCCATCTCGGTAAAGTGCTGCAGGAGCGTGAGGTTTTCGTAGGCGTGTGCATAGCTAAGCGGCAGCAGCGTCTTCAGACTCTCATCCACCCCCATTTTAGACTTTCTAATGATGGCGTGCAGCGCATCCGCCGACATCACCGTGATGTGGCCGCCGGATTTGCGGTGAAAGGCGTCATGGAGGCAAACCGCGTTTTCAAAGAAGAGGCGAACGGCGGTGTCGACCTTCTCCTTCACAGGGATACACTCCTTCAGCTGCCGAACGTCGTCCCACTCCCCAAGAATCCAGGCCGCCATGGCGCCCGACTGCGCGATGGCCGCGGAGGAGCGCGTCAGCTGCGGGGAGGCCGTCTTGACGACGTGCAGCGCCTTTTCCCATTCCCCGCACAGGCAGAGCGTCCGCACGTAACCTTCAAGATCCACCAGACTGCACTTCTTGTTGTTCTCCACCTTTCCAGCGTAGACGCGCTGTGCCACGTCCCACCACTGCAGCAATTCGTAGTTTAATCCATCTTCCTTCTCCGTCTTGTAGCGCAGTACTCGGAATAGTCCAACGACGGAATCCTGCATCTCACGCTTACTGTACAGCCAGGCAATGGGAAGCACAAGAGAGTGCACCGCCTCCTTGGGAACGCTGCTTGTGTAGCGGTACTTCTCAATGACGGGCAGCACCTTGTTCTCAAGGTAGCTAATGGCCTTATCGTACATGCGCGCGCGCTGCGCCGCCTCCACCAGGCTGTCCGTCGTGAAGAGCGGGTTGACACTATTGGGAATCGGTGACACGCGTGGACACGACCCAGGCGAATTGGGACCCTGCTGCGTCGGTGAGGTAATCTGACGTGCCAAAGGATGAAACTCGCTGCCAATCTCCGAATTTTCACACGCTCGTCGCTGCATCCCCTTATTATGATTATGATTGTTATTTTGGGTATTATGCCGCGCCGCATCCGTGTCCGCGCCCGCGTCCACGCCGCTGTCGCCGAAGTTGCTACTGCTCTTATTGGTGTTGCTGCCGAGGTCGGTTTGGCGGCCACTGGTTAGCCCGCCAAGTGGGCCATCCATGAGGTTCGACGTGGCGTTCCTCGGCTCCATGCGTGCGTCGACGGGCGACCGCAGCGACTGCACCGGAGACTCAAAGTTAAAGTTGTCGCTGAGCGGCCTGCTTTGGTGCTCCTGCGCCGAGTGCAGGGCGGTCGTGGCACGGGTGAAGCCGTCGTTGCTCTCAAGGTAGCGGAGCTGCTGCAGCACCGGCTCCTTGATGCGGGGCGGGTTGTGGTCAAGGTAGCCGGCAAGCCCGAGGCACTTGGAGACCACCTCGCTGTCGCTGCAGCGCAGCGCGAGGTTCAGCACCTCATTCACCTTCTTCATTTGCTCCGCGTTGAGGGACTCGTAGAAGCACTTGAAGGAGGGGTGGAACAGCTTGCGGCGCAGCGGCTCGTGCTTGTCAAAGAGGTCTACCACAACGCGGAAGGCGGGGTGCGGGGAGACGAGGAGGATGTTCTTCTGAAACTCCGCAAACCACTCCCGCCACTTGTTGTCCCTGGTGCGCAGCCCAAACTCGACGTGCTTCATGAAGAGCGTGGTGTCCTGGTGCCCCGGCGGGTAGCCGTCGTAGCGGTCTTCGTCCGGCTGGTCGAGGTAGTGGCTGCCGCGCTGCAGCTCGCGCGGGTGCTGCTGGTAGCGGCTTACGTACGGCGACGCCGGCAGCTCCCCCGCGGCGCCCGCAATGTCCGTCCCACTTCCCGCCGCCGACGACGTCGTCGGGCCTGTGCTGTTCGCCTCCTCCGTGTCGCGCAGGCGCTCACGCAGGGCGCCTATCGTCGCGTTCCCGCTCAGGCACATCGCGGCAAGTACCCGCAGCGCGTCCCGCACCATCGCGGTGGAGAGGCGGGGCCCAAGGTCCTCGCTCAGCACGCAGTGTCGAGTGAGGATGCGAATGGCGTGCAGCAGCGCCGGGAGATGCTGCACCGCCTTTAGGTTGCACACAACGTGGATGCAGGCGCACAACGAGACGGAGCGCACCTCCACCAACTGCTCCAGCTGTTGCACAAACTGCGTGAGCATGGGAAACACCACCGGAATACAGTGTGGGGGAATATACGTCGCATGCAACACAACGTTCACGACACGCAGGCAGAATTCTCTCGATTCGGTGTGATCCTGCAGGGCAACATCCACAAGACGGGGGTAGAGCCAGGGCCAGACCTCCGCCTGCTCCTTCCCAGAGAGTTTCCCTGGTTTCAACGCGCTAACCACGTCTAGCACCGCACGGAAGAGGGCATGATCCTGCGGGTACCAGAGCTGTTCCAGCAACACCACAATCTCAGGTAGGAGCTTCTTGCTAATTTTTTCATACCGCAGTGAGGTGATAGCGGCAAGGATGTGTAGCGCCTCTATCCGAAGCGAGGGGCTGTCGTTGGAGCGCTTTGCGATCTGCAACACTGCCTTTGCCGCGTGAACCCCACCGATAATGTTTTTCTTGTCAGTTGTCGTTTGCACGAGGTGCAGCAGGGTGCGCAGGGTCTGCGTGCACACCATCTCGGACAGCCCCACGTCCAACATGCGACTCAAGTCCCGGTAGACAATGACGGCGTAGTCGTAGGTGAGTTCCAGGTCGGCCTCATCCTGAATGGCCGCCTCATCGTTCTTCTTCTTCGTGGCGGCGGTGTCTGGCTTGGTGGCGGGGTCCACGGCACCCAACTGGCCAAACAGCGTGAGCACCTGCTCCAGCTCCACCTCGGTGCTGTTTACGACACCAATGTAGACGGAGGTGATGGACTGCAGCAGCTCGTGCAGCTGCGTCGCGTTCCACTCCCGCGGCGAGGCCCCGATGGCGTGCATCTTCACCAACAGCCCAATGGCGGCGTGGCTGAGGGAGGTGGACGTGCTTCGGCGCAGCACCGTCACCACGGGCGCGTACAACTCCGCCACATCGTCCTGGTTTTGCAGCATCATCGCCTCATCCTTTATCAGGGCGCCCACGATGGTGTCGGTGGTCTTCAGAATAGCGAGGGCAATCGCGTCCGCCACCATCTCGTCCACCAGGTGCCCCCGGAAGGCACTGAAAATGCGGTGCATGTGGGCGTTCAGCGGCGCCAGCGAGAACTTCGCCAGCGTTTGCAGGTCCGAGGTGTGGCAAATGAGGGTTTGCGGGTCCGCGGAGTACTCAAGCACCGTGACGTAGGACTCCACCATGGTGAGCAAACTTTGCTGCACCAACTCCAACGAAGGCGTGTTCCGCGGCTCTTGCGTGAGCAGGACGAAGAGCTCCACCGTCTTTTCTCGCACCCGGGAGGTGTCATGGAGAAGGCTCATCAACGTCTTCAAAATCCTCTGCTCCAGCAGAAACGGACGCAGCTCTACGGCGTCCGCCAGGATCGTGACCTCCATCAGCCGAACCTTGGGATCAAGCTCCAGCACCACGTGCTTCAGGTACAGCTCAATGATTTCCGTGACACGGGTGGAGTAGGTGGAGGTGCGGTGCTGCTTCGCGTAGCAGGTCCACTGGCTAAGCGCCTCCACTACAGAGATGCTGCACTGCTGCCGCACCTGGGCATCCTGGTGGCGCTGGTAGAAAACGCCAGAGGCCCGAACCTCCTCTAACTGTTGCACTGAAGTTATCTGCCGCTTTGCGAAGAGTTCCAGGGCAATGCAAAGCTCCGGGGGGGTGACCGCATAACGTGTCGTCAGGCTGGTACCACTCGCATTCCCCACCCCACCTGTTGCAGCTGCCGCAGCCCCGTTCGTCGGGGCATTCTGGCCCCCGCTCGTCGTGTTTGTGCCGCTGTCGCTCCGCAAACTTAGGTCCAACTGGCTTTCCCCCTCAACCCCGCTCGTGACGCTGCGCGGGGAAGCGCTGCTGCCGGCCTCGAACGCGGCAGGTGGAAGGAAGTACTGCGCCAGGCGCCCCACTGTACTACTGGGACCGCTGAATGTTGACGCCTGCGGGGCGCCCTGCGGCGTCGGCAGCGGATGGGCGCCCAGGCTGGAGGCGTGACGTCCGTCACGCGTCGCTGACCGCCTGCCAGCGTCGAGGCCCGCTCGCCTCGAGTCCTGCGCGTTGTCCCTCAGTTTGCTGTCGACGAGGGCGTCAAGGGCCGCCTGCAGCTCGGTGCTCACGGTGAGGACGTGCTGCTGAATCATCGTCAGGTACTTGACGAGCTCCGCGGAGAGCACGGCATTCGCCAGGTGCGGAATGCAGCGGCGGACCAACCCATCCACGTGCTGGACGATTTCCTGCTGCTTCATAGCGTTCGCGTGGAAAACCGCCTTGGGCAACGCAGATGTCGCCCCATCGCTCCCAAGCGAGAGGTTTTGTATGGAGTACACGCTTTCCGCCAGGTTGGGCGACTCACTCTTGCTGGCAGAGAAGCTGGCGCAGACGGACCACCCAGACCTGCCCCTTTGCACCACCTGCCGCAGCGCCGCCTGCACTTGCCGGCTGCAGATGGCTGCCAAAATGTGCCAACACTCCTCCTGCGTCTCCCGACGTGCGACGTAGCGCATGAGGATGGAGTCCAGATTCGTGCGGTTTGTCGAGTCCAGAGCCTCGTACCCGACGTTTCGGATAAATGTGGCGACGTTGCGCAGCTCCAGGCTCTTGTTGCGTTCATCGCGAACATTCTTAACGGGCTCCATAATAATGGCGCAGTACGTTGTGCGACGCACGGCGGAGAGAACGTCCGTCTCCGCAATAACCGGCACGAGGTCGCACACCGCCGCCCGCACCGCCTGCGACTTGGAGACCCGGTGCTGCTCCGTCACGAGCACGCACAACTGCGGCAGTATCGGCACCTGCTTCTCCATAAAGTGCACCCCCCTGCTGCTGATGAGCGCGCGCAGGGACTGCAGGGTGGAGATGATGCTGCTTTCATTATTGTGGCTCGTGTTCAAGGACCGAATCGCGTCGGCCAATACGCGCCGGTTCTCCAGCACGACCTCGTTGTGCCGCATGGCGCTCGTGTTACTAAATATCGCCACCAGGCAGTCGTAGGCGGCACGGCGAAGCACCTCGTCGGAGGAACCCGCAAGGGCGGTCGCAAGCTGCACGGCATGCGGACGAAGCGGCCCCAGCATGTAGCGTGCGTTGACCTCGGCTGTGGCGGAAAGGGCCAGCATGACGGAAAGAAACTGTGCAACAAACGGGGCCTTTGTCTGGTGCGCGCGTCCATGCAGCTGAATCAGCGACAATTCGCAGTTGTCCTTCAGTTCCTTCGTGATAAACGACTTGAGCGGGGGCCCAAAGGACCCAAGCTGCAGGTCCAACGCCAGCATACGCTTCAGCACACGCTGCGCCTCCTTCGCCGGCTTCTCAATTCCGCAGTGCAGCACGATGAAGAGGCTACGGCAGAGCCGCGTAAACTTTTGCTGGGGGTTTGTGTACGGCACCGCAAGGAGGGCGTCCACAAACTCCACGGCAAGAAGCAGCAGCTTTGGGTTCGACGTCCGCGAGAGCTCGGAGAGGACGTCGCGGATGCGCTGCTCAAGAAAGAGGTCGCGGCTCATGGAGTCGCAGCTTGCCAAGGCCCGCCGCTCGATGGCCGACACCGCGTCCCGCATCACGGCCGCCGCATTTGGCCCCTCCACCGAACACTCCAGTTCCCGCAGCAGCTGATTCACTTCCTCGTCACTGGCGTCGGTGGCGTCGGCGGAGGACATCGTCACGTAGCTGGCGGCAGCCACCTCCGGCACCGGGCCGTTTGAGACGCCACGCCCAACGCCGCCGCCGCTGCCGCCGCTGCCGCCGCCGCTGCTCCCCGCCGCAACCACGCTGCAGCTCGGGGTGGACGGGGGGTAGCGCCGCTGCAAAGGGTACTTTTGCATACGCTTCTCTCTTCACCCCCTACAGGATGCAAGATCTGAGCCCTCCACTTATTCACCAGACTCGGCTCGACCGCCTTCCTTTGTGGGCCGCTGAATGCCAGTCGTATCGGGCTCCGTGTCTTTAATTCCCAAGGGATGGTTTCCTTTTTTTTTCTCTCTCTCTTTTATATTGTGTTAGTTTTCTTTCCTTTGTGTTGTTGGTATTCTTCTTGTGTCGGGCGTTCTTCCCTGGAGAAGTGGCCGCCCCTCCCGCGCCGTTTTTATGGGGACCTTCTCCCCCCTTTGGGCACTGGGGGCCTTCGCTACTATCCCGTAAGGGTACACTGCGGCGCAGCAGCGCAGAAATGAAAACGAACAAATAAAAACAACAACGACGCACGCGGCATGGCCCGCTGCCGCGCCCCCAGGCACCGCACACAGACGCACACACAGGGGCAAACGCACACCGTCACGCCCTTCCCCCTCTTTCCTTCTTGCGGGTCTGACGCACCGTTTCTCTATGTTCCGTTCGCCACCGCCGTACGTAAACAGAAACAAATATATGCAATTCTCGGATATTTGCTTTTTTTTTTCCGTTTTGTTTCCTTCTTCTTTTGCCCTCCCACTTCCCCACTTCCCCACTCCAGCCTCCGCGCTCAAGCGCGTGTGCGTGCCCATGAGTTGCTGCTACCCAACGCAGCCTGTCCCCAGCGACTCTCGTCGCGAGCTACCGTCACGTCACGTCACGTCACGCCACACACACGCACGCAGTTGCGCGCGGAGGCTGGGGCCCCAACAACGAGAAGCGTGTTGGGTCACCACGGGGCGGTGTGAGTTCCTCCGGAAACCAAATCCCCATCCCGCCCATCAGCGCAAGCAAAAAAAAAATACAGTCGTGGCAGGAAATTGATGCTAAGCCGGCGGGGACCGCTCAATTGTGGGCACCCGGTTCGCAACGGGGGCCACAGAGGCATCACTCCGTCGGCTGACGAAGAAAGGGGGAAAAAAGGCGGGACGCCATTGCTGAACGGACTGATAATTTACACACACACACACACACAAACACAAAGAAGAAAAAAAAAGAGGAAAATAAAACAAATGCACACAAAGTCCTACTCCATGTGAATAAAAGTAAAGCGAGAAGTAACATTGCCGCTAAATAAATGTTGTTTTTTTTTCCCCCCCTTTCTTTTTGTTTTTGCCTGTTTCCTCGGGTTATTCTAAACATGTTACTTCCATCATTTTCCTTAAATTAGCAAAAAACAACAACAAGAAAAACCACAACTCCCTCTCTTGTTTTTTTCTGCTTTATTCCGCTACTTCACCCTCTCGCGGGCCTGGCCTGCAGACGGGTGGGGGCTGCGACAGCGCCAGAGTGCAGAGCCCACCCCGCCCCACTCTAGTCTACGTCGTTCCAGTTATCCACGCGCTTCTCAGCCCTCCCACGCCGCACAGGGGACTTACTCTTCTCGCCGCGACGATGGTGCTCAAGCGAGCGAGAGCGCGGCACGGCCGCTGCGGCTGCAGTACGACCACGCGGCGCACTGGCCTCGTCTGACGTGTCAGACGATGACGAAAGCCTTCTTTTGTGGTGTCTGTGCCGACGCGGCGGGGGCGTCGGTGTCTGCGTCGCATGCTGCCGCTTCTCTATCGCGGGGGGCTTTGCCTCATCGTCTCCCTTCTTCGCTTCAGTTGTCGGCTTCACCGCCACCGCCGCCGCCTGCTTCGCTGCAGCGCGCGCCGCCTCCCGTTCCTTCTGCTGCTTACTCTGCCGTCTCCTGCTGAACAAGGTGTTGCAGTACACCTTTGGTTTATTGGGCTTCGCTGGCACGACCTGCTCCGCCGTAAATACAGGCACAGCCTGCGTTGCCGGTTGCGCGGCATCAGTTTCGCCCTCCACCGGCGCCGCCTTCTCGCCACTGCCGTGTTCCTTCTTGACTTTCCTCTTGCTTATGCCTCGCGGTTTGTCGTCATCGTCGTTGTTGTGGTTGTGACCGCTGCTGCCGCTTCTTGCCCTGCGCAGCCTCCGCTTCTTTTTCTTCGCCTTCGCTTCGGAGCCGGAGGAGGGCGACGGGGAACGCCGCAGCTTGCCGTCGTCCTCCGCCGCCCGCCCCTCCGCTTCCTCCCTGCGGCGCCTGAGCTTTTTCTTCAGCGCCAGCGGCGCGCGTGCTTCCTCATCCTGCTGGGGCTTCTCCTCGGGGAAGAGGACGGAGGCCACTTCGGCGTCCCCGCCGCTCCGCGCCGCCGCCGGCTCAGAGCGGCAGGGGGGCTGCTGCGGCGGCACGAGGGCGCCGCCGCCCGCCTCGTCGGAGTCGAATTCTCCGCGTGCCGGAGTCCAGTCCGTCCGCGTTGCAAACGGCTCCGCCGCGTGAGAGTTGCGCGCCGCCACGACGGCACGCGCCTGCGCGGTCTCGTGCGCGAGCGGGGACCTCTGGCGCAGCGGGGAAAGCCGCAACACCTTCGCAGGACCATCCGGCAACTCCTCGGACGAGGAGGGAGAGTTTGGCTGCACGTGCCGAGGATGCCCCTCCTGCCGTGTCCGTACCGTCTTTTTCAATAAGCTGCCCCCCCGCCGCTCTGAGCCGTCGGCCCGTCGCGACCCCAGTGCGTCATGCTCAGCGTCCGGGAATGAAAAGTTGCGGCTCCACGCGTCTGCAGAATCGCGCGAATGTTGCTCTTCTCTGTGACGCCCGTTCGGTGGCGCCAGCGACGGCTCACTAGCCCTGGCCGTGCCGTAGAGGATGTCGCGGACAAACCGTTTGTTGTTGGGCCCGCCAATGATGGCAATCCGCGGAACATCCTCGTCCTCGTCCTCCTCGTCCTCCTCGTCCTCCTCGGAGATGTACTCTTCGTCGTAGAACACGTCCTCGTCGTAGCTATTCCAGCGCCGGCGGCTGCCGCCGTTGGACACGGGACGGGCGTACTGATCCTCCTCCGTGTAGATCTCCTCGTAGCTGGCGTCCAGCCGCGCGGGCGGGCGGTTGACGCTCTCCTCGCTCCGGTTCTTTGAGCTGCCGCGGCTCCAGGCCCCCGCCGCCGGTGCGCTTCTACTGGCGGCCGCGAGGCGCACCGCACGTCCCTCCTCCACCTTCGCGCCGCCCCCGCGGTCGCCGTTCTGCCCAAAGCCGGACCCGCGGGGGGCGGCGGCGCCGGTCGACGGCGGCGGCAGCGTGCTGCTCCCGGAGGTCTCCCTGTTGTCGTCGTTGGGGGCCGTGCACGGGTGCGGACTCGTGCTGCGGGGGGCACGCGTGTAAACAACCACCGATGTCATTTAAGGCGACGCTGAGATCATACACAGAGAGAGAGGGATAAAAAAAAGAAGAATGAAGAGGCAGACAGAGCTAGCAGGTTGAGGGGGGCAATAACACTGTTTTGATTTTTACGCTGCTGCTCCGCTCTTTTCCCTTATCCTTTTCTCTCTCCGTTACTCAAAGTAACACGCACGCATGCAGACATGTACTTTGTGTCTCTGCCGCCTCTCCATCAATCGCCCCAGTGCGGCGTGGCAGAGTCGGGGAGATGGATGCGAAGAACGCCGTCACTGGACGAGTTGCGGCGCGTCAGTGAGGTTGCACTTGCGCCGCGTATGCTGCACTGCGGTGGCGCTGGCACGAGGCCTGGGCGAAGCCGCAAGCCACGCGTCCGCCAGCACCTCCCACACCCGTGAGCCCAGGAAGGAGAGACGCACCTGCAGCGAGAGAACCGCCTCCTTACCGACGCAGCACCTCGCCGTTTCTGCGCCTGCTAGAGAGCGCTTCTGCTGGGCGTGGGCCGCGGAAGCCACGTCATCCTCCGTGTCATAGCAGAGACACATGCGCAGCTGCATGCCAACCCCAACATCCGAGAGAAGACCTTGCAGCAGGGAGACATGCAGCTTTTCGCCTTCTGAAAGCAACTCTGGCGCGGCTGCAGCGGCCGACGCGGACGCGCTAGTCGGACCGTCCGCCGCATCGCCCAAAGACAGAGTCCCACTCCTGCTGGAGGTAGTCGTAGTGATGGGAATAAAGTGTTTCCACTGGAATTCGAGAGATTGCGCAGCGGCGTCAGTGCCCACCGCTTGAGTTGCGGTGGCGCCTCCCAGCAGGACTTCCGCTGCGGTGGCGCCTTCTGGGCCCGCAGGATCCACGTGCCGCTCCCCCGTCCCAGGCGTGGGCGGCTGCTGCAGCGGTTGCGCCTGCACGGAGGTCTGCCTTGGCGCCAGCGAACTCGCCGTCGCGGACGGGAAGTTCGGCGACTCCAACATCCCCCCAATGCACTCCACAATCCAAGGCAGCACCTCCGAGGGCGGGACGCGCAGCGGCGGCACCGGCCCTCGCCGCTGCTCGCCGGCGCGCGCCAACGCGTCTTCCTGCGCAGTCGGCACCTCCTTGACGTCGGCGTCCGCCTGCTGCCGCAGCGCCTGCAGCATCACGGTGACGGGGAGACGAAGAAGCCACTGCGTGAACCCATCTGCCTTCGGTCCCGCGGCTGCAGTCCTGGCCTCGGCCTGAACCCCCGCCGCAGCCGCACCACCACCACCAGCAGCAGCGTTGCCTATACGCCAATCACGCGCTCTTTCCTCCCCGCGTGGCGGAGGACGTCGCTGCAGCAATTCCGCGGCGGCCAGAAGCACAAATCGCGTGCGGACTGCCAACTCCTCCAGCGGGTACACAATACTCTGCCTGCCACTCTCCACGTCAATGAAGTCGACTGCAAAGGAAGGCCAGTAGTTAAGCCGAATCGTGGGATAGACGCTCTGCAAGCGAGCCACGCCAGCACGCGCCTCGCCAAGCAGCGAGAGCACTTCCGTGGCCGCCTTCGGTGCAGCACACGAGGCCGTGATGGAGTTAAGCCAGGAGTCCACCACCTCTGCCGTGCCTCCGGCGGGGCCGCTTGCGTCGCCGCGGGTGTCCCCCGCTGCGCCGGGAAAGGGGTAGCGTGGGTTCACTTCGGCGGCAAGGAACTGCAGTATCCGCAGTAGGGCGGGTGGGCTGAGTGCGTCACGCGGATGGGCGCCCTCCGCGTGGTTGAAGGCCTCCAGAACGCTGTAGCTCACCCACCGCTCCTGCAGGAAGGCGTTGCGTGGAAACAAACCCACGGCGTGGGTGCACGCAGACGCGAAGGCGGCAAAAATACCCGCCGGCGAAAAGTGCACGGCCGGGGCATCCTCCCTGCCACCAACGCGTGGACCGAAGCAAAGCAGCTGCCCGTTTGTCGTCTGCTCCACGGCACGCCGGCTGTGGCGGGTGGGCGACCTAAACAGACCCGCAAGGTGCTCCGTCGTCGCTCGCTCCGCGTCACTGCCGCAGAAGTTATTTGCAGGCGCCGTCGGAACAAAATCCTGGCGGGTGAGCGAGGCACATCGCTGCACGGCCAACGCCGCGGCCACGACAGCGTCCGCCTCCGCCGCCGCCGCGAGCTCGTGGATGACGGGGGCCACCAGCGCGTAGGCGGAGTCCCAGCAGACGGCAAGGACGCGTTTGCTCACGGACACGTCGCACGCCGACGGATGCGCCGCCACGTACGAGAGTAGCCGCAGCCGCACGGAAGAGACGAAGGAGGCCAGGTCGTGCATCGCACGCTCAAACAGCTTGGTCGGCGACATGCGCGTCGCGAGGCCCTCCGCCAAGCTCTCTGTATGAAAGCAGCTAACCGCGTCCTCCGCACCCTCCTCGCCGCCGCCCACGCCCATCTCAGCGCACCACGACGGGCAGGACCAGCAGCCGCCCTCTGGCGCCGCCGCAGCCCCCTGACGGCGTTCGTGGCCAAGCTCGCGCAGGTGCAGGAGCAGCGGTGTCAGCCGCTGGCGCCGGGAGCGACGCAGGCTCGGCCAGTGGCTGTGCGGCCCATCGCGCGGGATGGACTGCGGGCGACTCTCCTCGTCGACTGTCGTCAGCAACGAACTGCGGGTCACCGGCGCGCTTCCAGACGCGGATGCGGGGAGACTAAAACACGGCCTCTGCAAGCGAGAGTGCCCCGTTGCCGTCAACGAAGCGTGCCCGTTCGGTTCCCTCCGTCGCCGCCCCACACACGACTTGTACAAAAAATAATAGCACCGCTGGAATGGCACCAAGAGGGCCTTGAACTCCGCACTCTGCATCATGCTGGCGAGGAGCGAGAGGAACCTTTCGTCCGCGTCATCACTTTCCTCGTTAGGCACCGCCGCCCCCTCTTCTTCCCAGGAGAGGGAGGCGAGTTTCTCATCAAAGCTGAGAAAGAGCGGCTCCCAAATCCCGCTGAGGGAAACAGGCGCGCGCATCAGGGTGCCGTGGGCGAAGGACCATTGCTCGTAGCTTTTCCAAAGTGCCCCTTGCAGAACAAACGGGGAGGTCGGCAGGACGGCGTTGGAGGTGTCCGTGAGCTCCCCCCTTTTCCAGCTCCCGGAAAACATCACTCCTGTGGCGCAGTAGTGCAGCGTGCCTGAGCCGTCACGATGATCATCCACAAAGCCGCCCATGTAAACGGTGCCTACGTGTGGGTCGTACTCCACGCCGAAGCCGTGGCGTTGGCCACACTGCCAGAATCCACAGTAGCGACTACCCTGTGGGTACAGCATCTCCCCTACCCCGTCTGGAACAAAACGCGCCTGCTCTGCCCAGGCCAGCCCTGCAAACGATCCTCGGTGCGGCGTCAACTCCGACGAAATCAAGGAGATCATGCCAATGTATTGTGTTGTCCCGCGTGCGTCGGCATCCGTGCCTGCCGTCGCACCCACGCGTGTTGGGTTTGCCTGCTCCCTCGCCAGCGCTGGCGGGGCGCCGGCCGAGGGGTGGCAGCAAAGCACACACGGGGTGCGGTCTAACAGCGGAGCGTCACCGTCCCAGTGGCAGTCTATGTAGTAGTGGGGGTGAACGGTGAGCCGCCCCTTCCCCTGCCGCCTGCCGTGGCTGAAGGAGCCCGTGTACGTGGAAAAGGTGAGCAGAACGGCATCCCGCAGCTCCTCCACCTCGCCATACTCGCGAACCACCAGCGCGTGCGGTAAACCAACCGGGGCAGCCGACTTCCCCGCCAGGCCGCCACCGGTGCCAGACTTGGCGTACAACAGACACGCCAAAGTGCCGACCCCGTGCGGGATGAAGACGTTGCTGCTGTTCCCACAGTCGCAGGTGCCGCCGGCGCGAACCACCTCCCCCGTGTAAAGGTGTCGCTGGCGCAAGTGTTGCAGCTTAACCCCGAGCCCGGCGTGCTTCTCAAGCTGCCGCGGCTGGATTGCAGGGGAGGCGCCGAATTCGATAGGGCACATCACCACGCGCTGCGCGCCGCTTCGGTGCGACTCAAAGGTGACGTCCGCGGGCTGCGGCTGGGCGGGTGGGGCGGGGACCGACATTCAGCGCGTCTCCCCGCTGCCTCCTCCCACACGCAGTCACACCCACGGCGGGCGAGGGTGGGCAAAACGCCTACGTAAATAAGACGGGCCAAAACAGAGGGTAACGCAAAAGCAAAAACAAAAAAAAACCTCACAATTCGTCCCGTGCGGCCTGCCACACCTGCCTTTGGACCTCGCCGCCTTGCCGCTCCCCGCGCCCCGCCCTTTTTCACGTTCTCCTAAACGTCTCTCTCCCTGCTACCTCTGCGTCATCTCAGCAGGCGAGAAAGCACGAGCGACAGGGGAAAAAAAGAAAAAGAAAAAGAAAAGAAAAAGAAAAACACAGGAGAAGACACACGCGGAGAGCAATGAGCAGGTTGCGAAAAAAACAAAAGCAGAGGAATCAAAAGTCAATGCGAAAGTAGGGCCACAAAGCCGTGGAGGAAACTATCCGCGAGGCCTTAGAAAACGCTGCCTCCCACCCCCCGCCACCTCATGGCTTTTTATTCCGTCTGTATATAGATATATATATATACATGTGATGTATTTCTCTCGGACTCTCCTTCTTGCGCCCAGCTTCTCTCTGTTGTGCTTTTATCTTGGCTGCTTCTGTCCTCTGTCTTTTTGCGGTGCCGCTTCCACCGCCGGCCTTTGCAGTCGTATTACTCCCCATCTATCTACGTGGCTCTATGCTGGCGTGCGGCAATGCTGCGCCGCCGCCCTCACCCACTGAGTCCCTTCCCCGTGGGGGAAGTTTGTTGCAGCAGGCAGCCAAAGCCCACGACGTCTTCGTAGGCAGCCGAGCTGCGTGCGGCAACAAATGACTTTATCGCGTCTGTCTTTCGTGTGCGGCGCCACCAGGCGCCAAACGCATCTATGCGCTCCTGTGTCGTCGTCGTACACCTTCCACGCACCACATCGACACCCTCCCTGTGCCTCGGCTGAACAACAGCGCCAATGGGGACGGCGCCTTGGAGAACCTCCGCCAGCCCGGCGGCAGCTGAAGCGTCGGCTTGAAGTTTTGGTACAACCTCCCCGCTGCTGTTGTTGCCATTGCTGCTACGCGCCTCCCCGGCAACACCGTCACCCCACGTGGAATTGGCGTTGGCGTCCGCGGCAACTTCCTCCGCGTATTGAAACTGCTGCCATTCCCACGTGGAGCAGGCTGCAGAACTGACGTACGCCGGCGCCCGCAGTACGCGGCCCAGCTGCCTATCCCAGTGGCTCCGGAGACCGGCAACCTCCATCCGGTCAGCGCACGCCTCAAGCTGTGTGGGGAGGATGCAGACCTCGCCAGCCATGCACTCCTCCTGGCGGGGCTCACGCAAAGTCACCGGGGTCGGCCAGTGCTCCACCAACCGAAGATATTGTAGACGATTAAGCCACCGTCGCACGTCCGTAAGTTCGCGAGGGAGCTGGGAGGCCGTCCCCGTGTCATCACTATACACCTCACCTCGTATGGCATCGGCGAGCCGCTGGAACTTCTCCACATCCCTCACCAGCAACAACTCAAGGGGCGTCGCTGGCAGCGCAGGGTCCATCGCCGTCGCGCGTGCGCGATGTAACCCTCCTCCTGCTCCTACTTCGCCTTCATCTCTTTCCTCTCGGCAGGGAGGCGCGCCGCGCTGCACCGCAACAAGGCCCCGTTCCACCGCCGCCACCAGAAGCAGCTGGGTGAAGAGGGCACTACGCGGCATGGGCTCAATAGCCGTGAACGGTGTGCGTTTCCCAAAGAACTGCGACACCTGCGCGGCGTCGATGGGCACAGTCTGCACGGGTTCAACGTCCTGCGCCGGGGCCGCCACGGGGCGGGCGCTCGTGGACGCGGTTGAGGACATTGTGACAACGATAGGCACCTTGCTGCGCTGCGCCAGTTCACGCACCGCTGCGTAAAAGGGCTTCATCGCCTCGTCGCCAAGAATAACATCTGCATCCTCAAACAGCAGCAGAGTGCGGGTGGTGCCATCCGGCCCCCCGCAGGCTGGGCCCGCCGCCGTCGCCGCCGCCGCCGCCGCCAACGTCGCCCCCACGTTCACACTTGTCCCCTCCTGACGCTTTCCGCCCTTGTCGTCAACAGCTGCAGTGGAAACCGCGTCAACCAGAACAACTTCCGGAGGTTCCGCCTTTACGCGCGGCCTAAAAAACGCCGTCACCGCCTCGGCAGAGATGGCGTTGCCCTTCCACTTGCTCTTTCCATTCCTCTCCTTCCTGGCTGGAGTTGGGGCAGTCGCCGTCGTCGTCGCCGCAGCAGCAGCAGCAGCAGCGAGAGGGGCGGCGTGCTCCTTCTTCAGCTTCTTCAACTCCTCCTCGATGCTGAGCATTGCCCTTCCTGTGCCGAGGTCGCTGAGGCGCCGGCTGCGTGTGACCTCCGACAAGAGGCGGTCAATGTTCTTGGGGCAGCGCCGCACTGAGGTGTTCATCTCCACCACGCGATAGCCAAGTATCTCCGCCACGAGGTAAACAATCGCCGTCTTTCCCACGCCGCAGGGCCCATGCAGAACGGCAATGTTTGTCACATCGTCATTGGAGTCATCACTCGCGTCGTCGCTTCCGCTGTCGCTAACTTCGTCAAAAAGCGTGCGACGGACGGAGCGGGCCTCTTCCTCGGCGCGAGCAAAGTACCCACGCCGCTGCTCCCTCGCCTTCTGAGCCTCCTCCCGCAGCGCACGCTTCTCGGCCATCTTCTTCGCCAGTCGCACACTGCGGAGGCGGTTGCCGTATTCGTCGTACATGACGTGGTCACTGGCCAGCCCATACTCGCTCTCCTCGCGCGGCTCAAGCGGCGACCCACCGCCGATGGGGGCTGACGCAATGCGTCCGTCTCCGCCACCGAGCATGCTGTCCGCCATACGCATCCAATTGTCATGGTATCGTTGACGCGCCGTACGTTTCTGCAGACGCGCTTCCTCGTTCCTGCGGTGTACGACCGTTGATGCAGGGCCATGACCATTTGCCCCTTCACTTGCCTCCGCATCGAGTGAACTGCTGCTTCCACTGGTCTCCACTTCACCACGACGCTGCCGTCCTTGCCGTAAAGACGGTGCTGCTGCGCGTAGCTGCAACGTGGCCTTCTTCGCCACCACCCAATTTGTTCTCCCGCCGCACTTGTTTTTATCCCCCGCCTTGGCGGGGGGAGGCCGGACCACAGTGACTCCCCGCGGCATTGCCCGCTGCCACGTCCGTACCCACCGCAAGAGACGTCCCACGCCGGCCGCAAAGGACGAGGTGTGAAACAGCGGCGGTGGAAACTTGGCATACAGCATTTGACTGGCCTCCTTGTCGTCACTTGCTGCAGAGCCTGCACATACTGGGGTCGTGACGGCAGGCAGGCGACGATCGTCTGCGGTTGGTTCATCAGAGTGCGGTGTAGCTGCCTCGGCGTGGCAGACGCCCGTATTGCCGCCTCCGCCTCCCTTGCAACTCCACTCAACGAGTTCCTTCGCATACCGCACGGCGTCCTCCACAAGAATCGGCAACTCCTTTACCCGTGCAATTTCTCGCGCCTGCGCCTCCAGCCGCTCCGACTGCTCTCGCCGCCGCCGCTTCTGAGACTCAATGAGGTCCAGCGTCCTTTCAAAGGCGCCAGGCGACGCGGGCAAAGATGCCGGGCAGGGCCGCCGCATCGCCCGCCACAACTTCTCTTCACTCATCGGGGCTGCTGCGCAAAGCCGCGTTCCCGCCTCCTTCGCCGCCGCCTCCCGCCTCCGCTGCAGCAACGCGTCCTCTACCCGGTAGCACTCCAGCAGAGCGGGGTGCAGCAGTGCGGCAAGTTCGGCCGTGTTTGCCGTTTTGCTTCCCTCGTCTGTGGGCGGGGAGGCGCGTGCCTGAGATTCAACTGCAGCGCAGCCGCCGCTGCCCTCCTCCTCCGGCGCACTGGGCGGTTGCGAGCTCAGCCATGACCCGCTCGGCCCCAGGCGTGTGAGCGAGGTGGCGGTGGGCACAAGTAGGAGAGTCCCCGCCTCCGCGGCGTGCGTGGGCGGCACGGAGCCATCCCCCGCCTCAGCCACGTGACCCGCGTCGACCGTCCCAGCGTGGAGTTCGCTGCTTTGGGTGGTGCCCTGCGCGCTCGCGCAGCTCACCGATGACCGACGACGCTTCCCCCCGGCCGTGTATCCAGGCGGCCCGCCGCAGGGGTGCGGCGCGAGCGACGAGGAGGAGGGGGAGCAGCCGTAGACAAGGCCGAAGGCGTCAGCAAAGTACGCTGAAAGGGGCACGGCGTGCAGCAGGCCTAAGGGCGACGGTGCCGGCGGCTGCGACATTGCAGGGGCGGCGCCCTTCCCTACCTCCCTTTTGACAAACGTTTCAGACACAAGGGAAGAATGGTGTCAGAGATGTACACAGTAGTCAGTCACCGCACCACCACCACCACCACTTCTCTCTCACTCTCTCTCTCCTCTTCCTTTCGTTCTCACTGGCACACACACATACACTCACGGAGAGAGAGAGAGAGAGGGAGAGCGAGAAACAAACAAACAATAGATCATCGTCACAATGGTGGTTGCAAGCGGTAGCAAATCCGTGGGAACGCAGCAGTAACGCATGCGCGTCAACGCCATCGGGGCTATTCAGGGGGAGTGCAGAACGGGGATGCCGCACCGTGGGCATTCGTTAGAGACCTGCAGCCACTCCTGTATATGATGCACGTGCCCCCCGTGACCGCAGGAAAGCAGCCACATGTACATCCCCTCCACCACCTCCTCGCAGATGACACAGGTCATAAGAGGCGTGGTTCGACAACGGCAGCACACCGCGTTTCGCAGCTGGGCGCAATGGGAGCAGAGCGGAGGTTGCAGTGACCCATTCCCGTTTCCCCGCTCATTTGCGGCAACCACGCTATTGTTACCGCTTTCAATTTCCGTCGCCTCCTCTCCGGCGCACGCACAGGAGAAGGAGGAGACAAGGGAGGCCGTGAAGCTGTCGCTTGAGTCCTCGTCCGAGCTCCACGGCGCCTGCCCTCTCTCACTCGCCTCAGGCCATGTCAGCGGCGTCGTGGTGTACGAGCACGACAGCTCACCCGCCTTCGCAGACTGCGGCACCAACTCCGACTTGGGGCACGTTCCACAGTAGACGCAGGTGAACAATTTCTGGGCGACGTCCTCCGCCCGCGGCAACCCCGGGCTGGAGACCCCCAGCACCTCAGGGACAATCACGAGGAGCTCGTTAAGCGGCACGTATAGCTTCCTTTCGTAGAGGCGAGTGACGTACTGCTCCACCCACTGCAGCGCACGCAGCCTCCACTGCCACGGGGAGCTGCTCGTGGCAGGCGCCGGAGACTGTTTACCCGACTGACCGTTCCGCACCGGTGCCTCGTCAGGCGGAAAGAGAGGGCATGGATAACTCGCCACAGAGTCTCCGCGTTGCTTCCACCAGAGGCAAAAAAGTAAATACAACACGGCACACAGCTGCAAGTCCCCGACAAGCGAGGCATACTCCAGGTGACTGCACACGAGCGAGGTAATGACAGCCACATTGTGGCTACGCCACGCATGCGCGGCCGCGGCCCAGAGCCGGCCCCTGGGGTCCGCCGAGCCTACGGGCTGTTCCCTGCGCCCCGCGCCGCTCATGGGGGAGGTACCCGCGCCGTCTCCGTCGCCCCGCCGCTGCAAGTCTCGTTCGCGTGACCTACACACCCCGGCGTTGTAGGCCATCATCCGCGCAAAGCAGCGATCCACGTCTTCCGTCGCCGCCGGACGACTTGCCTTCATCCTACGTGCCTCTTCGTAGCCCATCTCCCACTTCAAGGCGTACAGCACAAACGTGTCCTCCTCGGCCGGGCGCTCCACGTACGCCCACCCACACATCGCATTGGAGAGGACGAAGCAGTCAATCGTGGGTCTGACGAGGGATCTTCGTCCAAGCGGCGGCGCCTGTGTGGGAGTCCCTGCCGCGGCATCTACGCCTTGCCCCGGGAGAGGATTGACACACACCGCCTGCGTTTCGTGCAGCATGGAAAGGGTGCCTCCGTACTTGCGGCCCACGGGCGTGAAGAGGCGCATCTGCCGAAGATTTGCTTCGTCCGAATGTGTTGGGGACACTGGACTGGTGACCGCCACAGCCTTCGTGAGCGCCATAATAGGCAACATCAGGCCGTGTCGCTCGCCGAAAGGTTGTTCGTTTATAGCGGCAGAGCTTGTCGCAAACGACCCTCGTCGCGTCTTAGCGGCCCAGTCCAGGCCGTGCTCAGTGTGTATCTCCGGTCCGTTTCTCGATGCGCGGTGCCGCGGATCAGCAGACAGCAAGTGTGGCGATCGCCGCCGAAGCGTGTCCGCGCCCTTGCCTTCGACATCGTCGTTCACGGCACCCCGCTCGACCCGCGCTGCCGCCAGGGATATTGACGGCGACGGTGACGAGGCAAGCGAGAACAGGAAGGGGAAGATAAATTCCGGCCGCCTGCCGCCGCTGGGCGACGCCCCTGCTGCCGCAGCGGCGCTGGCCGCAGAACCCGCAGAACGTCGTTCAAAGGTGGTTTGCCGCACTGGGGTTTGCGTGGACCAGTGGGAGAGCTGCGGTGAGTAGCGTGTGTCAAGCGTCACTCCACTGGTGGGCGTGGCACGCGAGGACTCTCTCTGATGCCTGGCAGCCCCTGGCGAAAAACTCGTGGAGGCAGAGTGGCTCGTGTCAACACTGACGGCTTGCTTCTTCTCTGACGCCAACAACTGCTCCAGCAGTTCATTCTTCTCGGCGTTGATGACGTTGGTGTAGTGCTCGCGCAGCAGCGAGGAGGTGCTGCGCACCGCAAAGCTGCGTCCAAAGTAATCGGCCACCACCGCCGCCGTAGGGAGTATGGCGCTGAGACTGAGCACATCAGACCCCTCAGACACCTGCGTCGTCTGCTCGGTACTGCAGCGGAACAGAGTGTCTTTGCTCGTCGCTTTCTCATCGAGCAGGGAGGTGAGCACAACCCCCCCGTCCTTGAAGACAGAGACGAGGGTTAGTGCGTTCACCCAGACACAGTCCGTTGGCTCCTGCAACGGCAACTCCTGCAGAGTCGACTCCCTCTGGTTGACGCCCTGGCGAGCCAAGTCGCGCCTTTGACAGACCGTTCGGATTGAAAAAATAGGACAAAATCCGTTGGCGGCGTCCCACACACTAATCTCGTGGCCGTTGAGCGCCGTGGTGGCGAACCACAGTTTTGCCGATGTGGCGTCGACGCCGCCGTCGCTGGTGTCCACGGCGGCCTCTCCGCCTGCGGCGTGGGAGGCGCTCCCGCAGGGACGCCACCGTAGCCGACTGAGGGAGTCAATGCTGTCGATGGGGGGCAAAACGTCGGTGGACTCCAGCGGGGCCGGGGCATATGTCACTTTCTCACCGCCGTAGTTTGCCTCTGCCCCCGCCGGCGCCGCGATGACGTCACTCACGACGCGGAAAAACTGCACACATGAGTTTGTCTTTGTCTTTGCTTTCCGAAAGGACACGGCGAGGAGGTCGGAGAAGGTTGGGTGAAAGGCGGCCGAGAGGGACGGCCCGGTCGTGTCCATGCTCCACGACACCTCCACGTGCCGACGGTCGTACACAAGCACCTTCCCCGCGTTGGCGATCTCCACCACCACGATGATGAGGTTGGGGTCGAACGGGGAGAAGGCGACCCCGCGCGTCACGGAGCGCTCGTCGTGGGCGGGGGGGCGCAGGGTGAGGCGGGGCGGGTGCACCCTCTTGTCCACGACGGGGATGGTCCACAGCTCAAAGTGCGTCGCGTTGGAGGTGAGCGCGAGCGTGTAGGGGTTGTGCGGGTCCCACGCGATCCGCTCCACCCGCAGGAACCCCGTGTTGATCACAACCTCCACCATGCTGCACGGCCGCCCCGGCTCGCGCTCCACAAACTGGGCCGGCTGCCATTCCTGCACGGCCGCCCCAAACGGGGTGGAGGGCGTGGAGGCGGCGCCCACGACGGCGGCGCTCAGAGGCTCGCTCCCGGCCACCGTCGCGGAGAACAGGGTGCGCTGCCTGGAGTTGTGAATCCACTGCTGCGCCATGTAGGCATCTCCCTTCCGTGCCAGCGCGTCAAAGAGCACTGTGACGTTGCGGCTCAGCTGCACAATGGCGAGCACGGCCTCCCCGCGGCCGGGGTACCACGCAAGGGCCTCCACCTTTGCCACGTTGCCGAACATGCCGCATGGCCGCAGCGCCAAGGAAACCGGGGCGGCGGCGGCGGCGACGGACGACGCGGGAGGGGCATCTGCCGCCGCCGATCCGGTGCGACTCATCTGCGTCACCTCCACCAGGTGCACTGCCTTTGTGCTGCCAATTGCCAGCATGCTGGGCCCAGGGAGAAAGTCAACGCAAATGAGCCCCTCGCCGAGTGACATCTTCCACGTCAACTGGGCCCTGTGGTCGGACTTCTTCCTTGGACCGACGACACTCGTGTCTGAGCGTGGCACCGGCGTCGGTGTCGGTGGAAGGCCGGGCGAGGGAGCTGCCACGCGTCGCAGCGATTCCTCCAACATCATACGCCTACCTCGCTCTGCCGCTATTGCACTACTGTGCGACCGCGACTGCTATGCGGTGGGGAAAGGACAACAGGAGACTTTTCTCTCTCTCTCTCTCTGTGTGTGTGTTTGTGTGTGTGTGCGTGCTGTGCCTCTCCCCACTGCGCTGCGCCAAGGGAAGAAGCCGGTAGGCAGCAGTCAGGCCGCAGCGTGGCGCAACGCGGAGTCTCCCGCACTCACTCAGGCACACGGAGTGGGGCAGGGAGCAACAGCAACGGCAACAACACCAGAGTATCCCTCGTCAGAGAACAAAAAACCGCCCGTGTTCCGTCCCGTGCCGCGCCGCGGCCCAAGTACGCCTTCCTGCTTTCCTTCCTTGCAAGCCGCAAAGCGAGAGGAGGGGGGCGGGGAGGATGAGGGGACGATGCAGGGGGGCCTGTAGGCGACCTCGCCCCCGCCCCCGCGCCGCAGCCAGGCGGGGCACAGACAGCGGAGCAGGAAGGAAGGAAGCAGGCAGGCGTGCAACGAGGCCCACACAGTTCCATCTACGCAGACGCAGTAAAATGTGAGAAGGAAGACGACAGGCAACAACAACAACAACCACCAAAGAAACACCCCCATTATAATTGTGGGCACCGAAAAAGAGAATAAGTCAGAATATCTTAAGACAGACCCTCAGAAAAGGGTGGCGACGAGGGAGTTCATGACACCCCCTCACGCACACAGAAACAAAAAGAAAGAAAGTTACACGACAGCGTTTCCCCAACTCATTTCGTTGCACACATGCGTGGGGCGTGGAGAGGCGGGGCCAGCGAGGGAGGGAAGCGTGGGCGACGACACCCACGCTTGTCGCTGACGCCATTACTATGGATTCATAACCACATAATAAATATATAATGGCACTGCAAACCAACTCAACACGAATGTAAAAAAATAAAAGAAAAGAAAAACGGCGCAGGCTAAAAAGTGCCATTTCCCTCCTCAGATTTATTTGCGTCTCTCACGTGTCATGGCGAAGTCACCCACTCTTCTTGGCTTCGCACCACACCAGCCCCCCTGCCCGCTCGTTAACAAACCCGGAAAGTCTTTACTCCCCTCCCTGCAGACGCATCCTGCGCAACGCAGCTCCTGCTTGACAGCGGCCGCGTCACGGCAACACGTCGGCGCAGCGCGAAAGGACACGGCTGCAGCCCCCACTTGGTGAGGTGTCGCGCACTCCGCACCAACACCAAAGTAGGGAAGAATGGAGTACACACGGAACCAAGGATGGGAGCAAAGACGCCAACACGAGTCACAGAAGAGGCACACACAGACACGCACGCGTAAACAAAGGTGGAAAGGAAGGGCCTTTAACGAGCGAGAAGACTGATGCTAGGCAGCCACTTTTTGTGCGGCCGCGGAGACACACAGTAAAAACAGATCTCACGCGTGCGTGTGTGCGTGCGTGCGCGCGCGCGCGTGAATCACAGATGAAATCAGCACATAAATAAAAAAAAAGGGTTCAGAGATAAAGCCAAACAGTAAGCCAATATAATGAGAAGGGAGTCGTGAAGGAGAGAGGAAACAGAAACAGTACACATCTTGCGCTTGGATGGGGCTCACTTTCCCCACTCAAACGACTTCCAACTCCCACACACACACACACATAGAGAGAGAGAGAGGACAATAGCAAGAACAATAACAAGGAAAAAGACTCACATTTGGGTTCATTGCACTCGACATCCCCGATTCGGGTGGAGTTTGTCAAACACAAACACAAGCGTGAAGAAAGAAGTGCATCAGACAGAGACACTGCGACAAAACAGACTCTCGCTGTGGACTCACGAAGTGGCAGCCATTGCGGGCCTTCCCCTCGCTACTGCCTGATCCATCCTCCGCGTGGCGGGGTATGGGCGGCGGTGGCGGGGGGTTTAGGGCCGGAGAAGAACAGCGCCAGCGCTGCAGTCCAATACGATAACGTTGAAGCCACAAGGTTAAGTAATCGACCAGGGCACAAGGGGAAGGGGGAAAAAAAAAAGAAGCCGGTTGGTCATCTGTCCAGCGGGCGGCTACTTGCACAGTTCCTCTACTGGCGCCAGCAAAACCCAATTGCCCGGGGACACAGTCGCCCACGCCGGGTGAGTGAGGCAGACGTTCATGGGCGACTGCAGGGCACCAAGAAGAGGTTGGCGCGCGGGGAAGAGAGAGAGAGAGGGAGAGAGAGGGGGCACAAAGAGGGAAGAAGACGCAGCTGCGAACCCCCCCAAGAAACGGAGTTGCGCGTGCAGGCGCGCCACTTGTTAGGTGACACTATTTGAAAGGGAAGCCACGAAGAAAAAGCACAGGCACACTGTAAAAACGATCCCACGAGCGAAGAAAAAGTAAAATGACGCCGACTCTGTCGCCAGCCCCACGAACTCCCCCCTTCCCTGCTGCAGACGCACCCACCTCCACCCCCCGCAGACGCCCAACTACAGTGGAGGGCGGAGTTCCCCGCGGAAAAAAAAAACATTTGACAGAAAAGCACGCTGGAAATTGAGTCTCCACCACAAGGATTATACCACGAGTAAGGACAAAAAACAAAACAAAACAATAGTCATTCAGAGGACCTAGACACAGTGCATACCAGCGACAACGAGCGCCGTATTCACACAGCTTGCCCAGTTGTGACGCAACACTCCTTCTGCTTAGCCGGTCTAACCGGAGATATGTGGCACCCGCAAGGGGCGACATAGCATGAGAAGAAGTTTTGCCTGGCCCCTGCTACTACTGCGGCGACTACCACTACTACGGCTACTAAAACTGGTAGTACATTGAGATATCAGAATTACTGCGGTCCTCGGAGAGGCGGTATTCTATTGGACGCCGATAGCTTTTTTGGGTTACAGAGGGCAGTAAAGGTACGCGAGGCACTTCTCCGAAACCTTCGGGGCGACTTTTATTAGTCTCTCTGGTGTGTTCCACACTTAACCTCGTTTGTGGAGGCGTAAATGGTTTTCTATTCTTACCATTGAGCTGTGGCTGTTCCGTACTCTTCGCAGGCATCACCTCATTAACTTGCTCTTGAATAATTGGGTACTCTAGATCCATTATTCTCGGCATTATACCTGTGATGTCCTTTCCATCGTCTTCCCTTGTACTTTGGCGGCTCAGGCTCTGCTGCGATGAGTCCGAGGTCCCCCTTTCTCTTTCGCGATGCTTGCCAGACGGCCATAGTTTGTAGCGTCTAAGAAACTTCGGCAGTTGAGTGAGTTGGTCATAAAAGGACCTTGTTTTCCCATCCTGCACCGTGAGCTGCGAGGCCGTTCGTGACTTTAGCCGCTGCCGCTCCTGCGACCCCAGCCCTTGACTAGTGGAGGTGTCCGATTCGGCGGCGTCGGAGCTTTTCTCGCTCAGGGACTGCGGCGTTGAGGCTTCATTGCGGTGGTAGCGCCTCGCCCGCGCGGAGTCCGTCTTCCGCCCGCCGCGCCCCTCGGAGCCCTCCGCCAGCTGCGAGGCGGAGGAAATCAGCCCCGGCGTCCCCTTGTCGCCGCGCCGGCTGAAGCACTCCCACCCCGACTTCACATACTCCGGTATCGACTCCCGGGCCTTCTTGATGCCGGCGCGTATCGCCCTTAACACCGGCGCCTTACCGCCATACTCGCCCTGTCCCCGCGGCCGGATCGACGCCGACGCGGAGGCGGAACGGTACAACTCGTCGGAGTCGTCCTCGTCAAGCGACACCGGCCGAACGATGGAGCGAAGACGCATAGCATCCTCCCCCATGCGGGTCCGGCTAAGGCCCGGAAGTCGCGCAATCGAATCCTGCCCGCGTAGCATACTTTGCCCAAAGTTGGTGGCGCTGGACCCCGGCCGAAGCCCAGGGGTGGCAAGACTGAACGACGTCGCGTCGGAAGGGTCAAAGAGGGAACCCCCGAACCTAACTCGGTAGTGGCCGCGGGGCTGACCCGCCATACTTGCGCCATAGTTGGCAAACGACCCTGCAACGCTGCTATTGTTTGACTTGCGTCTGCCAGCGTTCTCCCCCTCATACTCACCGCTGGAAGTCCCATCCGTGGAGCCGTCCTTGCTGGACCCTTCTCCAGAGTTTTGCGTTGGAGAGGTAGCAGTAGTTTCCCTTGGGTAGTCTTCGTCCGAGTCGCTCAATTCTAGAAGTATATTTCTGGGAGCGAGACTCGGTCTATAGCCTCTCCGCGGCTTCACAGAAGCCTGCGCGTCCTCAAGCCCTTCCTTCCCCGCGTTTCCTGCCCTGGGGTAATACGAGGATGCGAGTACATCCACTGTGCTCGAATTCTGGCTGGTCGTGTTCAGGCCACGCGTATCTTCCCCGCCGTCTTCCTCGGCGGTGTCCTGCTCCTCTGCCCCCACCGCAGCTTCGGACGCACGCGCCGCACGCTGCTCCGTGCCGCGGTCGTTGCGATTCACCCTGGCGTACCGGCGGACCTCGGCACTCTCACCTCTCGGATTCCTACCTTCGGCGGGACCGGCACAGTTGACCTTGACCACCTCGGTATGTCCCCCGGTTGAGTCAAGAAAATGGAGCTTTCTCCACTCAGGGCTGTGAACGCGTTGGATGGTCTTTAAGGAGTCTAAGTACCACTGCCTATGTGTTGGATTCTTCATGCTCCTTCCCCCGCCTTGTGGTCGGTAGGGCACCATTGGCCCAAGCAACCACGGCGGCGGCATCGCCTGATACTGCGTCGGGTGATGAGGGCGCTCGCCGCCGGAGCTCCCATTGGAATTGCTGTGGGGGAACTGCTGCCACGCAGCGGCGCCCGCGTGGGCGTGCTGCATCCCGGCAGAAATGTTGTTGGAGTAGGTCGTCTTCTTTATTTTTCCTTCTTCCTACGTTCCCGTTTGCTATTCCTTGGTGCTCCTTCCCGCTGCGCTCTGCCCCTTTCTGTCTCCTACACTCCTGCACACACACACACACAGAGGGAGAGAGGGAGAAACAGATAGAGGAAGAAAAACAGGGGGCGAAGGATGAGAAGACAAGAGGACTCCGCAGCAACGACCACGAGACCGTCAAGGCGCGGCAGCCACTCCGGCAGCACAGACAGTCACATACACAGACGGAAAGAAACAGGCAGACAGAGAGAAGTACAGAAAGGAGGAAGAGGCCTTCCCCAGCCCACTGAATGGGCGAGAGAGGAGGGGGGGGGAGAGAGAGGAAAGTTTCGAGCGGCTTTTTATACACTCACCGCAGGGGATACCGTAAGTCAGCAATAAGGAAACACACACACACACACACACACACACACACATGCTCACACCCAGTTCATGTATTTACGCCATAGTGATTTTTCTCAGAACTACTTTAGTATTGTTTTCTCTTTCTTTTGCGTTTCGCACTCCCCACGCTCTTCTGTGCGTTTGCTCCGCTCTTCCACGCCCACGAGGCGTGAGGCCCCCCGTCGCACCGCCCCAGCGGGCAACGTAGGAGACGCCGCAGCGACCAAACGAAAAAAAAACCCACGCAAGCCAAAACGAACAAAAGAAAAAGAAAAACAGCACACACGCAGAAAGAGAGCCCGCCACAGGAAGAAGACGCGATACGACGACGCACAGAAGGGCAAACAAAAAAAAAGGAAAACGCAGACGCAGAAACTTAAGAATATACGCGTGGGGCTTCGTGTGCGGCGGTGACGAGGCGTGCGTGGGCGTGTGTGTGTGTGCGTGGGCGGGCACATGCCGAGGGAGGCGGAAAAAAGACACCGAAATACAAAAAAAAACAGAACCAAAATAAAAACAAAAAAAAAGAAAACAGAACGAAAGTCAGGAAAAACAGCGGATGAAGGATGAGGGGGGAATGGGGAAGAGGAAGAGGAGGAGGAGGAGGAGGCGGAAGCGGGGGACGAGTTGGGAACAGCCCTTCAAGAGGAGAGGCGTGCGCGGCAGCCCCTTCCCCTCAAAAAGGAAAAAAAAAACACACACACACAAAAAAAACGAAACCAACAAAAACGGAGAACGACACACAATAACGGCACATCACTCTCGGAAATCGGTGGGAGGGAGTGACGGCACAGGCACCAGTGAGTGCCTTGCACGCACTAACGCCGCCCGCCCAGAAGCAGTGGCGCCGCATGCATGGGAACAGGCATCTATGAACATAGAAACAAAACGCATCATGTAGGAGAGGGGGAGTCAGAGCAGAAGCTAGGAGACAAAGCACAACCAAGTAAAATGCTCGGACGGGAGGGGACCGAACTTTTTTATTTTTTGCACCTATTGCTGCTCAGACACATACACAAGCAAAAACAAAACAACAACAACAACACATACACACACATAGATGGACACTTTCAGAGAGAGAGAGAGAGACAGAGACAGATAAAGAGGGAGACAAACAGTCACACTGGTCTGTTTGTTTGTTTGCGTTTTTTTTAGAAAAGAATTGCTCTGTAATGCTTCTCCGAAGAACACAGCGGCGCCACGGCGGGAGCGAAGAGGCGGCAACAGCCGCCAACTACATAGGAGACCCCTTCCCTCACAGAAGATGGAACGCAAAGCGACTCGCACGTTCTCTCTCCCCGCAAATGTCCACACTGCTCCCCCATTTCCTTTCTTTCTCACACAATGCTCCTTTCACCTTTACGGGTCCTTCCGCTCCCGAGCACGTATTCCCCCAGAAAGACTCTTTTGCGGGAATTCGCGTCGCCCCACGTCTCATGAACCCCCCAAGCCGCTCGGCTTGCGGCACAGCGATCAGGGGCCAAAACGACAGCCGAATTGCTGTGCGGTGGGGACCAACGCAGCGTGCTCCGAGCCCTTCATTCATTTTCACAAACACACAAACACATTACACGGAAACACAGACACACACAAATAAACATAAAAGACATCAACAGGAGAAATAAAATCATAATCCACATGATTGTATACACACACACACACACAGGCGTAGCTTCCCATATTCGTTGCATTGTAGCGGCGTTTATTCAAAATAAAAAGGAAAACAAAAAAAAACCTCATCCACACTGCAGCTCCTTAAGAAATAATAGTTTGCTTTTCCACACCCGTCCGACAGTAGAGGTGATTCTTGAAGGTCTTGGAGGTTGTGTGAACTTTCTACCCCATTTTTTTTGTGTCTTCTTCGTGATTTCTTCGGCCTTTCCCCTGCCTTCACGGCTTCTCCTGCTGTACCGCCTTGGCACGCTTCACAAGGAGAAACAGACTCGAACAACAAGGGCGACAGCAACCCGCATGCCTTAACGTTTCCTTCCCTGGTGTAATTTTTGAGTGTCCTCACTTGCCTCAAGGAATTGCAAATCTGGGCTTTTCACATGCTGTACATCCTCCAAGGCCTTGCGGTACCAGTCGGGAGAGACTTTTATCCCTTTTACCCCATAAAAACTACGTGGTGTGCGTGGACGGCGCTTTTTTTGCATCTTCTCCAACTCTAGCGGCATCTGCTCCGGGTACCCCAGCTGCGGTGGTCGGTCACGATGCAGGACCTGGGCGATCACGTTGTGCGTCCTGCAGTCCAACTCCATTTGCTCGCCTGCGTACTCGGGGACGGCCCCAGCGGGTAAAAGTGGCTTATCTGGAGGGTTTCTCATGAGGAGCGGCGCCTCCGCCCACAACTCCATCTCCGCCCACTTTTTGTCCGATGTCGTATCCACTTGAGATTGGGTAAAGAAATCTATCGAGATGCTGACACGTCCAGAGTTGCAAAGGTATTTTTGCTGACTATCTACGCTTGTTGAGGCAGTCGCCCTGCGGGATCGCTCCATGGCAACGTCCTCCGGCCTATGCATTGGGTTTCCTGCCCTTAAGACTTCCATGATGGCGCCCCACGTTGCCGAGTGCAGCGAACCCTGGGCTTCCAACCTCCCCGTCTCAGTGCCAATATCGGGAGACACGCTCGCCGGAGGCGCCTTGGGTTGCTCCTGACTTCCGTTGACTGGGGCAGCAGAAGGGGGAAGAGGACCGTGTGCGACACTCTTCGGCGCACTCGGCGTGAACTGCGTCCCGTTTTCTTTAGGAACATCCATGCCTACAGTTTGGGGTGTTTTGATTTGCTCTTGCGGCTCTTCCACCCACCCGTCCTTTTTCTTAACACGCTGCTCAGCGGCAAGCTTGTTGTCGGCAGCCTCAGTCGAGATGCGTCCCGATACGGGAGCTGTATTCGACACCCGCGGTGTCGCTATGCCCGCGGGAGCTGCGGTTCCAGCTACAGCCACGACATTTCTCTGCCCGAGCGCTCCCGCAGAAGACCCTGGTATGGTGCAGGCGGTGGTGTTTAGCGGGAGGGCTCGAACCTCATCTGTGGGGGATGGGGACTTGCGCTTGACGTCCTCAGCTGCGTGCCCCTCACCCTTGTCGCCCTCCTGCAAAGGCAGCGTCGCAGTCCCGAAAACCTTGCGCACGGTTGCGCGTCTTCCATTGGGTGGAGCCTCTACAAAGATGGCCTTGTGATCGCTATCCGTCCCCACAGCTTGGTGTGCGAGTTGCGCGGAATGCTGCGGCTGCGGAAGCGGCTTTAGTTGTTGCTGCTGCTGGAATAGCGGCACGCTGTTTGGCTTCATTTGCGAAGAATCGCTTCGGATGATGGTGGCTGGCTCATGCACGTTTGCCGTGATAGCCCCCTTTGGGAGTCGTGTGTTAACTCCACCCCCGCGTGCCATGGGCAGCGTCGCGGTCTCGGCGTGCGCCGGCTCTCTGCTGCGGCCGCCACCGGCGGCGTTGGAGGCCTTCGCACCTCCCCCCCTTCCACCGCCGTCTTTGACTTTGTTGTCGCCGGCGCTGCCGCCCCCCGGCGGTGCGAGACGCGGCTGCAGCGGCTTTTGCTCCGGCCGCCTCCCCGCCCCGTTGGCGTTGCCCGGGTTGGGGGTCAAGAGGACGTTGTCCAGCGCGTCGATGCTACCCACCATGCCGTAGCCGTTGCCGTAGCCGAAGGCGAACGGGTCGTCGGAGGTGTAGAGGTTCATCGCACCGGGCGCCCCCCACCGCGCGAACGGCGGAGCCTCTGGGCGGGTGGCGCGAGGGACGCAAGCGGAGTGGGGTGACTGCGCCTCTGCACACTCACACACGCACGCCGCCCCGCGGTCCGCGGTTGGAGGTCTCTCTCTCTCTCTCTGTGTGCGTGTGTGTGTGTGTGTGTGAGAGCGCGAGAAAGCGAGGGGTTGTGGCTTGTGTCAACACAAACCCCCCTCTTCCTCTTCCTCCTCCCCTTCGCGAGTGTGCCGCTTTGGTGTTTTGTGTTTGTTTTTGTGTGTGCTGTCGCGTGCTCCTTCAGCGCGGCCAGCCAGACGGACGCAGAGGCGAAGCGTGCGACGCAACCTCCTCCTTCACACCGTATCTCCGGTCCAGTGCTGCCAGGCACGGCGGCGACCGCGAGAGCGAGAGCGCGGGAGAGAAGAAAAGACCACGCGTGTGGCAGCGAAACCCGCAGCGAACACAACACACACAGACGCAGACACGCACGTGCAAATAAGCCAAAAAAACAAAATACAGGCGGGAGCTGCGGGGAAGAGCGTGAGCGGAAAAACAACATTAGGCGTCGTGCGCGTAAAGGCGGGACGAGCGAAAAAAAAAAGCAAGCAAAGAAGAAAGGGACTGGCAGAGGCGAGGAGCTGGAGAGAGAGAGAGAGAGAGGAGGGAGGGAGGGAGGGAGGGAAAGGGAAAAATCAGACGA